CTCTTTACACTTCCTAACGAGAAAAATTAAGCCATTGTTAAACCATTCAAAATATTAATCGCACTAAGGTCTTTGTTGATACCAGAATTGCCATGTGTCCTGAATCATGTGTCGAAACTGTCGATCTTTCATTTGTGAGGTGTGTAGCTTATAGAAACCTGGCCCTTGGTCCGGCCTCTTCCTCACTGTCAGGATTACTTCAAACGTCTTATGGTCCAGGCCTGGATACGGGCTGCGCGATAGGATAATTGACCATCGGAGGGCAACCTCGAGATTGTTAGAGAGGAAGATCAAGTTTATTCTAGACTTGGACATGTGACGCCAAACCTTACGCCCAACGCGACTTCCTGATTGGAGTGTGAGTGGGTCTGGAAGTGCGAAAGGGGGTGTGCCAAGGATTTTAGGAAAGTGGGGGTGAAGTCCCAGGTCGAAACTGACATCTCATGTGGCAAGTCTCGGGGATAGGAATGCAAGAGGATAGGTGCGGGTCGAAGTCTGAGCGTGGGGCTACCACCTCTGCTGGTTCCGTCATCTGAGTCGGACGCGTATTTGGTGCACCGGCGGAACACTATGGCTATCGTGCTGTCCGATCACTTGTTGGCGTCATACGTTACTAGTCTCAGAATCCGACGCGGTTGGCCTTAGCCGAAGGTTGTGCGCCCATCATTCTTCCTCCGAGCGAGTTCGTCGGATGAAGACGGAGGCTCGGTACTCGCGGTCTTGCAAGCACTCCGAGCACGGGGGTTGGGGCCAATACGGAGTGATTGCACGTCAGGGGATGATGGTCAGCGAATGGAAGGGCGGTATGCGGTGGTAGGGAGGGAAGTCGGTTTCCAAAATAATTACTCCCAGTTCCACAACAAGGTGACACGTGTACGAGCTGGGGAATTCGGGGTGGTGGGGGATACGCTCTCGAGCTCGGTCGATATCCCACTCGCAGATACGTTCGTTTCCCACCGGGTATGGAAACTAAGGAAGTTCTCCCCTCGGTCCTGCAGACATACACACGTGCTCCCAATACTCTCGGAATTCCAGATCCCTCAGACACTCGCGGTCAGTAATATGAAAAGGGAGTTCGATATTCATGTTGTGGGGTGAGGCGAAAACTCAATCATTCAAAAGGTTGGACCGAGTGCAAGCTCTGCAGACACGCATGCAGGCCACGTTCTTCCAGTCGGGCTTGCACGTGTATGCACAAGGCTTGCCCTTCGGTCCGATGGGCAAAGACCAATGACCCGCGTCTCGTACGCGCTGGCCCGTTAACCGAAGGTGGATAGTCCTATCACGAGACAGACATCTGATTATCTAGCATGCTTATTTAATTCACACAGAAAAATACCCATCATCCATGCGTCTAGTTTTATGCATACATAAACAAAAGAAGGTGACAATCGTTCATGCGTCAAGATCGTACAAAATTCGATCGTGGGCGATTAACCAATCAATGTGGCTCCTACATATAGAGGGAGGAGCAAGATGGGGGAAGCAATCATACATCAATCATTAGAGACAAACAAAGAAATGATATGAGATGCCGATCGAAGGAAATAAAGGCGACTTGCACCTGATACCAAAATTACTCATAGGGATAGAAGAGAACACCACCACAACACCTCCCGTCTCTCTCTCTCTCTCTCTCTCTCTCTCTCTCTCTCTCTCTCTCTCTCTCTCTCTCT